CCCATCAGCACCCCGATTCTAATTATTATACATTTAATTTCCTAATGAACCGTATCGGACGCCGGGGTCGACGAAACGGCGCACTCGTGCACTGATTTCACGGGCCACCTGTCGCACTGCTGTCGCACGCTCCCCATTGGTTTCGCCGGATCGGTCACGCAGGGTGTAAGACATTATTCTACACAAAGGGTCAGGATAGGTCGATGAAGACACGAGTATTTCTCGTCCCATGGACTCGTATGAATCGCTATCGCTGGCCCCATCGCTTTCGATCGAAAGTTCAGCTATTCGTCTGCCGAGCTGATTAATCCACTATCCAATCAAGCTCTGATCTTCTTAGCATTTAAACTTCTTAGAGTTTAAACTTCTTAGCATTTAAACTTCTTAGCGTTTAAACTTCTTAGCATTCAAACTTCTTAGCATTTAAACTACTTAGCATTTAGAATTCAACGATATAGTGCTACTTCTTGCGTTCTGACGGGTGATTTTTAAATATGAAAAAAGTGTTGTGTCATTAAGCAAAGGTACTATGTATTTAAAACGTACAGAGGAGTTGAGAATCGCAGGCGAAGAACCAACGAAGCGATTGGACATTCAGATTTGATATTTGAAAAGCTGAGTTCGTCGTTTTGACCACGGAAGTTGAGATTTTCTACAACGAGTCGTTGAATAATTAAATCTTCTGCTGAATCAATTTATATATATATATATATACCAGTGTTTAAAAGGTTTAATGAGGACTATCATTTACCTCAAAACACCAACTCCTTTGAAAACCGTAGAACCGTTAGAAAAACGTTACTGAGATCCAACAGCACGTTACCTGATATTCGTGACCCTCCGCAGAATATTCCTCGCCCACGGGGATTCACAAAAGAGTGAAAACCAGGGGCGTATCGCTTGTATTTTTCTGTTTGGACGTTTGCGAATAAAGCTACGCCAATATTTCTCCGGTTTTTGTGGTCATATGGCGCTGATCTATTATACTCCTCGAACGCCCCAGAATATAATGTCCGAAGGCCACGCGTCAATTTCATATCGAATGCAAAACAGCAAAACCGAAATACAAGCCAACGAATTCAGATTCATTTGACTAACTAGAAAACAAACCAATAATATTCTCTAAATATTCCCAACTTCTGTCTCACATTGCATACAATCCAATTTCGCATTTTCAAAAACTGTACGCAATTCAGTCGAACTTTACACTATCAACCTCCCTACGATTCCATACAATTTCCCATATTCAACCTGTATTCAATCCACCCAATGCATCTTCGCACTTGCAACCTGACTGCAATTCACCCTCCGTTTTCCCATAAACGCATAAAACCTCTATTAACATTCCATCGGAATCCTATTGCATAAAAATCTCATTAACGCAGTCTGTTAGTAAGAAAAGCTACAGAAGGAGACTCCGATTAGCGCACGCGGCTCGACTGGTTCTTCGCCGGTCGTCGAGCCGTCGGCGAACATACGGAGGCAGAGAAAAGAAAGAAGAAGGGCGAGAACGGATCCATTGTAGATAGATAGGTGCGGTCACTGTCAGGAGGGTTGACAAAGGCTGACCGGGGTTAGATACATTCAAATGGTAATCGGCGCGCGTCTAACATACACCGATCCTCCGACCCCCGTGCTCGCCGCTTAAGGGGGTGCGAGCACACCCTTGGCATACACCCTGCACATTCGCACCAGAATCCAACCAAATATTGGCAATATCATCCCCGGCATTGCCCGCCGCGACCTGCCTCCTATACTCGGTGGGAAACGATGTCCATTTGAATGCACGATTCCATTACTGATGTCGATATATCGGCCGGAGGATCTTACGGGATTACGATTTCGAGGGAAATCTGAAAGAATACTGCGAAAGTCGGTCGCGCTATGGCACGAGACACTTCGGGCAGTTCAACAATCATATTTTCATTTTCTTTCATATGGAAACGAAGACAGCTGTCTACTGTTACTCAGTTTCACCATGCAATGTAATGATAAAGTATTAATTAATTACTCTATATTAATACAGAATTCTTAAATTTTCCGCTTCATTCCACAGTGCTCAGATCGAACAAAAAGGGATTAGTAATTTCATTCATTCAACATCTCTCTTCTAACATTTCGCTAGGAAACGAATAGGATCAATTAGAATTGTGGAAATATTCTACAAATGTTAATAGACACGTGTCCAGATGATTCGATTCGCTGTCACCGATGGAATTCGTGAAGGGACGATGATTTTTCGAACCCGCAAAACCGGAACGGCTTAAGCCGGTGTTCTTCTGTGTAAACGGCTACTTATCTCGCCGGCCGTAATTACCGGAGATCAGCTCGTCGCAACAATTATCTCGTAAAACGGTTGGCAAGGCTTTGCCGGCCGTATTCGGTATTCACGGATAAATCTGTGATTCGCGATCGGTGTTGATTCAGCGCGCGGTACGTCGCACGTGCGCCGATGTGGACGTACGCAAAGCTCCCGCAACCCGAACTTCAGCACGCGCCACGATTATGCGATTACGCGATTACGCGTGTCGGCCTCCCGGTATCACGGCTACGGGGGTGACGAAGAAGAGGCACCGTCGGATGATACATGGCGCGCGCGCGCGCGCGATGACGCGGAAGATTCTTTCGTTGCCCTTAAACGCCGTCCCCGAACCACTTTCCGATGAACGCATCTGTCGCTAGATGGAATTCCGGTTTTCACTGTTACAGTTCCAAATCTGAGATTCCAGTGACTCTCTTAATAAATACTGTGAAAGAGTAATCCCATTTTCATTAATTTCTTACGTTTGTTCTGTGTAGTGTAAATTATTTGAAATGAAAGTCAGTCATATTAAATGCTCGGTAGCTCTAGTGTTAAAGTGATCTGTCAATATGCAAATTGATCGTGAATCAACTAAAGTCTCAATAGATGCACTCTTGAAGTTTCTAATTAGTTTCAAAATAGTCAATTTCAGTGCTCGGTAGTTCCAGTGTTAAGGCCAGTTTCTTAAACAGTTAAGAACGTTGAATATTCCCAATTTCTCGATTTTCGATGCGAAGGGTCCAAGGCTAATCAAACTCCGCAGATCGCGCTGATGTGGCCGCTGGGTTGGCCATCGGCAGCGGAAGTCACACGAGAATGTCGTGCAACGCACCGTTCGCAAACAATCGGGCATTTAAAATCGCAGTAACGTATCCAGTCCAGGAGGAGAGAGTCGGTCGCCTGCGAACAGGGTTAGGAGCAAGAATAAAGGGAGGCGGGAGTGATACACAGCGCCGACACGAGCCGACACGTGGCAGCGCAGCTTTATACAAACAGCATTATGCACGCTCGTGCTAACATAAATTACTGCGGGTTTAATATTGGACGGCGACGTTGGCCATGCCCGACCACCTCCTGAGCAAAACATGTTAAATGCGGGGAACCAGCCGCCGCTCGGCCCCTGTGCACGCCTACCACGATTCTTCAGGTGTCCTTTCATCAATGCAACGATTCGGATAATTTATATCTTGGCAAAGATTACTCTTTAAAATACTCTGCAACACCTAACTGTACATTGTTCCTTATAACATAGTGCAAATTATTCTACTAGATATTCATATTTTATTTGACTAATAATTATTGAACTATTTGTATATAAATTGGAGAATCTGAAGTTTACCACGTCAAAAATAAAGAAACAAAAATTAGTTCATAGTTTTGTACGATATATTGCGGATCATAGAATGACCAATTTTAATTTTGAACTACTAGGAAATTTTAGACTAATTTATTTGAAGGTAGTCTCTTAGGTAAATGATGATTCGTTCACTAAGTGTATTCGACATTCGAGACGTTTCTCTATTAAATTATGCTCACCACTGCTCCAGTCTCTTTTACAAAGTCTGATGTATTAAATTGAAAATCAAAGAATCTATTGATTTTCAACGTTTTACACGATTTTGTATATAAATGTCCTGATCGAAGGTATTTAATCTACAGTGAACCGTAATCAAATTGCATTATTCCCGTGATGAGTAATGAGCACTGCAATTCTATGGTGGATCGAGGCTGCATAGAAACAGCTGACTGCTTCAATGTAAATGAAGACAGAGCGGAGCGAGGCCGCGTATGAATGGCGGTATTCGGGGAAAAGTCCCGGTTAAATTTCACAATAAGCTCTTTCACGGCTGCTGAACGTGAAACCGCTTGTAAGCGACTTCGGGGAGTCTTACGGGACGCCCTTGGAAAGTAGCCTGAACGACTGTAAAGGCGAGAATGTACGGGAATGGAGGGACCGGGAAGGGGTTCGATAAGTGGACACCCCGCGGGGAATGACGGGATGCAGACCGCCGGCATGAATTAAAACTCTATGAATGGATCCAGACCAGAAATTCATCCTCGCGAGATATTGTTTCGAGTGCGTTCATCACCCACCAGCCTCTTAATCTTCGTGAAACGAAAGCGAAACCGGATGTTCGTCCTTGAATTTAGATGCTTTCATAGGATCGCCGGGAATCGAGGGAAACAGATGTTATTACTAATCACTCAAGATTCCTGTGTGTTCGTTAAACACAATTTGATGGCTTTTAATTGAACTGTGAAATTTGTAAATTGCATAGCGATGAATTTTATTTTCAAGTCTAAACATCAAGGATTCTTTAGAATATATAAACAGTCGCAAAAACTGAATTGATTAACCAGTGAACTATCTTTGACGAGTATACTCGTCATGGAGAAGTTTGGCTATCTAAATTGTAATTTCTGTGAAAAGCCAATGGTCACTACTTTTTACCACGAGTACACTCGTCGTGACACAAAATCCTGTAACTTCTCCATGACGAGTATACTCGTCACAGTTAACTGGTTCAGGAGATAAACATAGTCTACTGAAATTGTATAGTTTACAACAAGTTCCATTCATATCAGTGAATCGATTGCAGCAAATCATTCAGCTCACTTCAAGCTGATCGCAGTTAGATTTACTTCTTCGGATTCTTCAGGGAATATTCTAGCTTAATGATCTGATGTGATTTTAAAGGAACCTGGAACAGCTAGCGACGACTGCGACGTGGGATGGAGGAAGTCACTTACGTTCGAAACCCATACCCCGTGCCGGATGTAGTTCGCGAAGGAGTATGGACACGGCGACCTGTCCTTGGTAACAAGGTTGCCCCGCAAGACAAGAGCTGGAGCGCGAATTTGAAATCACACGAACGCCTCTTCGCTCATCACACTTTGAACAGCATTCGAAAAGACGCTAGGCTTATGAGACTGCAGGTGGCTACTCCAACATTGAAATTGTCATTCAGCGAAAAGGCTTCCCCGCAATTTTCTATATAATCCTCAGATTATTTTCCATTCAACACTTCGACTGCCACGTCATCCATATTTGGGTGATACTATTTTTCACGTAAACTTGAATGTGAATTTTCTTGGTAACGTACCGAACGAACCGAATTTTGTTGGATGTATGAGATATGAGAGATAGAGCAATTATCAAGAATCTTGAACTTTTAGTTTCTACTGAAAGAAGAAAACTGTTTCGAGTAGATGGGAGTTGTGACGAGTGTTCACTTGGCAGTCGAAGTGTTAATAATGAGAGAATGCTGATTTTAGTGCGCATTTTCACAATGGTATCAAGCACAGAAGAAAACTGTATTAATGTTACCTTTCAGGTGCCAGAAGATGCTCTCGACTTGGCATTGTCAACCGTGTACGTTCACAGCAAAGACACTTTGGTCCCGAAAGTGTATGTCACTATGCAGCCAGAAACTTTAGGGAAGAAGACGTGGCGCGTCTTGAAGAATGAAATCGAGGTAAATATTAACCATCAGTTCTTTGGAAATCAGCGACTACCACTTCTTATTCATTAATTTTCTAATGAGATGTCCCGCGAATTTTATCATTTGAACGTGATCTTATAGTCCAACGATATCGGAATATTTGTCAGTGCCATCGTTAACAATCCAAAGTGAACACGTTTCTCTTGGAATTGCTTCAGGTACACAAACGGGCGAGAATACCAAGCAAAGACGGCGAAGAAGAAGATCCGGTGTCGTCGTTACTGGCGCAGTGTTACCGTGGCCCGGTGCCAGAGCGAAGAGTTCATCCGAGTAGCGTGAAATTAAATATCACCGGGCCGCACTCGGTTCAATCTAATCCCGGATACAGTCGCAAAATCGACGGAACTTTTTACAGTATTTAAACACGGATTTGTATGGTGTTTGGAATGGGAACCCAGCCGGCGAAGCTAAGCTAACAATCGTATTTGAGGAAATTAAATCAACGATTTTATGATTATCATTGGCGCGTCGCGGTTCCGCCGTTTTCCACGCGTTTACGGCCGGACTTCGATTCGCGATAATTTCATTATCAAGTTTATATTCCCGCGCATCGCTATAAACGCGACGTGCGTTCACGAACGAGTAACTCTCTGTTAACCATTCCGAAGCGAGGACATTCCGGAAGATTCTAAATCTTTAAGAAGCTAAATTGTATATTGTACTGTTAAGTCAGAGTAATTATATTATTCGTTTGTAACTTTCTATTTTGATACGAAAGCTGGAAGGGTTATTTCTAGTGCACTCTAATGTACGTTAATTGCACTCATCGAGCACTGAACAATCTCGATACATGTTAGATTATTTACTTCAATTTCATCTATCAATAAACATCATTATCCAGCAATTCGAACTTGCATTATCAATCTACATATAAATATTTCTTACATATTGTTACTTCTACAAACTATAAAAGCACAGAACACAATAGTCGTCACATAAGCGTTACAAAAAAATCCCAAGAAAAATAATTAGTGAGCAGTTCCACAAATTCAATTGGCAGATCCGTTAACCTAACATCGTCCGACAATCCAAACAACAACGAACCTGCGGCGCATTAAAAATCCTTGTGTATCCTTCGATCCACCGTCCCACGCAAACAAACTGTCCCATCCGCGTTACAATAATGCCGGCGGCGATATCGGTCTCGATCGTGTTGACAAATTCGTTCGCGATACCGTCGGTGCAGTCCCTTCAGAATCTTGGCTGCGATCTCGGATCCTGAGTTCTCGCCCTTTTAGGGAGTGAGAGAGAGGGAGAGAGTCGATTCTCCCGTGTCGGTCGTGCGTGAGTCAGTGCACAGGACGTTCTCACTGGCGAAACAGCCGAAGGGACAGAATGTCCCATTACCCGGGTAATCCTTGTTTGTAATAAACCAGCGCCCTGCTGCTGCGAAGGGGGTGGCGGCCGCATAACGCCGCGGAGAGAGCGTCGACGAGAGAAACGGATAGATTGTGATATACAGACAAAGACAGTGAGAGACGAGGATGTGTAGATAGATAGGTAAGGACTGAGAGTGAGAGGAAAAGGGATAGATGGATAGAGAGGAGGACGATGAGTGAAAAAAGGATAGATGGATAAAGAGAAAGTAAATGGAAGTGGGGAAAACAGAGCTAGGTACATAGAAATATAGGAAAAAGTAAATAGAAGTAAGATAGATAGATAATTTGATAGAAGATAATGAGTGAAGGAGAGTTAGACTCATGGAAGGAGCAAAATAGAGTGAGAGTGAGAGTGAGAGTTAACGAGATAGAAAACTAGAGTGCAAGAAAGATAGACAGAAAAGAATGTGAACGAATAGATGATACACAGATAATTCGATAGAAGATAATAATAAGTGAATGAGAGTTAGACTGCTGGAAGGAGAAAAATTAAAAGAAAAATAGATGAATGGAGTGAGAGATAGAGATAGATAAATAGAAAACTAGGGTACAAGAGAGATAGATGAAAGAGAAGGTGAATGAATAGAGGATAGATAGATAATTCGATAGAAGATAATAATGACTGAAGGAGAGTTACTCATGGAAGGAGAAAAATTAAAAGAAAAATAGATGAATAGAGTGAGAGATAGAGATAGAAAACTAGAGTACAAGAGAGATAGCTAGAAAAGAATGTAAGGGAATATAAGATAGATAGATAAATAGATAGATAGAGAGAGAGTGTGAGGCAGTGCGTACATGTGAGACAAACACAAGCCATCAGCCTGCGCATATGCTGCTCATGGAATATCATTTATGTTTCACCCCGTGCGGACGTCTATCCCCGTTTGACCTGCTGCGACCCCTGCGGAAGGGCACCCTCTTTCGGCACAGACACCTCGATCCTTATACATACGCCTAATCCCAGCCATGATTGCCGCGGGCGACCGAGCGCGGACGGCTCGTCACGAAAACTCCTTTACTTTAAAGGCTCGTGGCTCTTCTTTCTTTACTCTCCAAGAAGTAGGCATACCTTATCTTTTTAACGGTGCTCTTCAAGGTGAATCGAAGGGACGAGACACACTTGGAGATGCACGAGTCGTTATTGACATGATCAAAATGTTCATCTTTCTTAACACTTTAAGCGCCATGTCAGTCACTGATGACCGATGCTTCTCAATTATCAACAATCGTAACATGCAAGATAGCCGACGTTCGATGAAAATTTTTAATAACGTAACTAAGTTGGTAATAGTGTAATGCAAGGATTACAAATAATTAATAATTGTTCCTGCTTTTCTTTACTGCAAAAGAGTAATTCTACGAGAAAATGTTCAAGATTTTCGTGGCGTTTGACGTGTTAAAAGATGTTCCATAGCTGATTTTTTTCTTGATTCGTTTGAATACTTATTGGAACTTTACGTAATTCCGATCTTGAGTTACTAGTGTATTAGAAAGTTCAGAGGTACTTAAGAATGTCTGGTTCTCTTAAGTGAAACGAGTGAAAGTTAAGAAGAATTCACATGGTACTGATATAGAGATGTAAACATTGATTTTAACTCTTTGCGGTCCAGAGGCTCCTCTGAGTCACCAAATGATTTGACACAGCAAAATTATAAACTTTGATATTTAATACTAAACTTTGTATAATGCATTAATGTATGAAATATTAAATGAAAATAGTACTCTTTCTCAATGCATGTGAGATTCCTTAATCCAATCTGAGAAAATGTCATCTGTATCTCATTAGAAAATATTGAATATTTCCGGTGAAAAACTTGTGGAGTACAAAGGGTTAATTTGAATCAATGCCGTAGTATGTAGAACTGAGGTTCATTGATGAAAGGGATACAAATGAGGGAAAAATGATCCGATTTAGCCTTATAGTCTCCTCGACCAGTTCTCGAACACCGCTCCCATAAATAAGTTCGCCTTAAGCGAGCGTTATTTGCATCGTTAAGTGAGCGTCAATCGCGGCAACGAATCGCATAATTCTTTGGTGAATTACACCGCGTCGAATGTCTATCGACGTGGATACTTTTTCTTTCCGAGTTAGGGTGCACGGCAAGTGCTGGGACTAAGGGTAGAGCGATCTCAGACCGTCGTGGGTAACGAGCGAGGTAACCAGCCAATTACTTGGCTGAACGGTTTTATTTGTATTTAATTCTTATTTAATTTACTTTTTACGGTCTCCTCCGTGGGGAATCCGTTAACGAAATGGAAGATTCCTGCGTCGTTGCAAATTCACGAATCGTAAACCGATGCGGCCGGGGTAATTAAATTCAACATGAAAAATGAGAGGAATGGATTACAATCAAATAAAGTAATTATTACACCCACGAAACTTCCATGCGAAATTACCAAAAATATCTGTCAAAATCACGAAGTTCTACCAGAATTTCTATATTAAAATTTCTACTCTATAATTATAAACCTACGTTATTAATATTAATTTCATTGGTTCCTTCCTAATTGATTCAAGAGAAATGTTCGATCTGCATTATAATTTCAGTGAAATATCAGGTAAACGCTACTCCATCGCGATAACCGTATAAATATGTGTATATAAACACACGCGTATAAGTTTGACGAATAGAAGGTAATGGAGGGAATGATCGATTTGCTATCTTTCCGATTCCTGGCGCGCATACGTTTACTCGAAAGGAAATTCCGCGTAAAAGTCGCGGCAAAGTCTCATTGATCCCGGCGGGATGAAGTTGTTATTCCAGTGAACTTGTTACGTTATATTTATCAGCGCGGCGCACACTGCCACCACCCGTCGGGCTTTATCGTTCCTTTCGGTCCCATTTTTGCTCCCTCGACTTTATTCACCTACGTACTGTCAAGACAAAGCCGCAAACGACGTTATAAAGGACAGCCAGAAATAGGCTGTATTAAACGAACGACGCCAGTGATTTTTCTTGACGTTCACCATTCACGAAATGAAGTATGCGTCGATAAATCTTGTCAACTAGAAATTTGTTAGCACGACAGATCTCGGGAAACGTCGCGATATTTAATTCATTTCTACGGCAAATACGCAAGATCGAAATAAAGCGGAATCTATGGTGATTAAAATTCGACAACGTTACTTAGGGCGTCAACCCCTTGGCGTACTATTTACTTTCGTTACTAAGCTCGTGTAATATTTTACTAGCGACAATTTGTACGAAATATAACAAAATTTTCCTTTCTACTGCAGGTGATAACTTCATTTGACGATAACACGTTGATAATAGCAAAATAGTTGTTTGCTTTGATCCGTGGGTAACGAACAACATTCTTATTAAATTAGTTTAGAAATCTTCATCACGAGTCTCACTCGTCATTGTACGGCAAGGGATTAATGATTTATTTCGCAAAATAACATTGTAAGAACATATTTGTCTAGTTTCTAGAATCATTGTATTATACAAACGACTTCAATTTCTCTAAAAAGAAATTTCGTTCACTGTAAATACTGATAGTAATAAATTTATTAAACTTCGATACAGTGTTAAGAGACACGGTACAAAGCGTTTCCTGTTTATTAGAATTCGATTAAGTTGCGACTTCGCTGATTGCCAAGATAAATACGAAACAGCCCGGCCGGCGGTACGTGCTTAATCAAATAGCAGGATGTTTGTGGTCGTAAGTTTACCCTCCCATTCGCGTCGAACCGGTCCCAGCAATACGACAAGAAAAACCACCCCACCGCCACCCTCTTTCTAGGAGGTCAGATCTATACGAATGGTAGCTTACGAAGCTTATTTTTTAATTTCTGTTCAATATGTTTCCGCCGCGGGTCGAGTGTTTGTACAACGTTTTAAACTTATTTCAAAACATGGCTCGCGACCGTCGTCGTTCCGCTCGAGGGGTTTCCGCTCCAATTGTCTTTTCTATTAGACCGGGGGAAGGGAAGCGGAATCACGGTCGTGTGACCGCGGACTCTATGAGAACGCCCGCCGCTTTTATTATTTAAATAAATACGCGGCGGTCCCG